CGGAAACGGCGGCGGAGCTGGAGACGAACCGTGCGGATCCAAGGGATCAGAACAGCAGGGACCTCACCCTTGGTGCGCAAGGGGAAGACCGTGGTGTAACGCGAGTAGTCGTCGACAACCAGCAAAAAGTACCGCTCACCGCCCTGGCCACGAACGCGGGCTGGGCCCCACACGTCCAGGTGGAGGGTCTGCAGAGGAGCCTCTGTCGGGGGGAACGAGGAGGAGTGAGGAGCGGCGCGCTGCCGCCCCTCGACGCAAGGAAGGCAAGGCGGCGCAGGCGAGGCAGGGAGGGGAGGGAGGGACCTGGGAAGACCAGACACAAGGTGGCGACGGTGCATGCCACGAAGGCGTGGCAAGGAGGGGTGACCCAGGCGGTGGTGCCAGAGAAGAGTCTGGTGCGACAGGGAACGACACTCACAGGCGTGGGCTACCAGACCTGACGCAGACACCTGACCGACAGCAGCGACCTGAGGAGACGCAGTGGTCAGTGTGTAGAGACTCGACCCCGGCCGACGGGTAAACGTAGCCAGGTGACGGCCTGTCCTGGAGCACGTGCAGATCGCCACACGCTGTCCGCCAGGGGTAAAGGTGTCAACCCACTGATCCTGGAGGACAGCGTTGCTCACCAGGTTCGTCGAGAACGAGGGGAGGTGGAAACCCGACAACGAGCCAGACGGAACCGCCGGACAAGGGAGGACAGTGGTGGACTGGGCAAGGACTGGGCCCCCAGAGGGGTCAGCCAAGGAGACTGGGACCGGTGCAGGAAGCGGTGTGAGCTCAGTACTGTCACGAAAGAAGCAACGGGAAGCACCTGAGTCAAGCGTGAAGGTGTGACAGGCCTCAGCCGGTGCGGTACCTGAGAGAGCAGTCTCTGTGGGTGCTGTACCTGAGAGAGCAGACTCGAAACCAGCCAGGACAGCACTGGGGGGGGCAAGTACAGGGGGCACCATACCAGAGAGAGCAGACTCACTAGTACCCAGGGCAGCGGGCTCTATACCTGGGTCAGGCGGCACACACAAGTAACAGTCTCCCTCGGCACTAACAGTCAATGCATACATGGCAGCAATAATAGCATCATAGTCAAGAGCAAAGACATCAACACCAGCCCTCATGAGCTCAGCCCAGCGGGGGCGCTCAACATCCGCGCCCATCTCCTCACGCCAAGCGTCGTCAAGGCGGGAGAAGCAGCGGTACGGGGTGTGGAACCTCCCACACGTCTGTCCCTTGCGGTCACCTGTGCGAATGACATAAGAACAGCGGCCACTGCCCCCCGACGTCCCACGCTGAGCAAGCCACTCACGAAGCTGCTGGGTCGTCTGGGGACGCTGCTGCTGCTGGGAGCTCTGGCCCGAGCCAGTGCCTCCACTCCGACCGCCGCCGCCACCACTACCACCGCTCCGACCGCCACCGCCACCACCGCCACCACCGCCACCGCCGCCACCGCCGCCGCCGCCACTACTGCCACTGCTTCCGCCGCCGCCCCCGCCTCCACCACCGACCCCACTCCCACCAGCGCTCCCGCCACCGCTCCCTCCAGCACCGCCTCCCCCCCCACCTCCCCCACCTCCTCCCCCCCCAGCGCCACCACCACCACCCTTGCCCCCCTTGCCCTTGCCGGTGCGGCGCCTCCCACCAGGAGCAGAAGCAGCGCCAACAGACTCAGCACCAAGGAAGTCAACAGCAGCAGCAGCAGCGTAGGAGGGAGCGAGGGGAGAGGGAGAACACCCCTCAAAGATGGGGGTGCGAGGAGCGCCACGAGCAGCACCAACAGCTACAATGCTCTTTTCGGCCGCGAGCAGCTGCTCCTCTAGGAGGGCGACTGTGAGCTCAGTGGGACAGCGAGCAAGGAAGTGGTCTCGAACTGAGCGGAGGGTGTCAGGGAGACGGGTGACTATGAAGTGGAGTGTCCAGTACAGTGGAGGGGGGTTCTTAGCGCAGAACTCGGTGGGAAGGGCGGCACGCAGGCGAGCATCACTAGTGCGAAGGTGGGTGATAAGATCGGCGACTGTAGTAAAGGTGGACAGATCGGGGAACAGGTACGGCAGCATGAGGCGGCTAAGCTCGGCTGTGGCAGGCGAGGAGTAGCGAGCAACGACAGCATCGTACAGGGCCTTAGCGGATTTGCAGTCGCCAAAATGCTCGAGCTCAGCTAGCGGCAGGTGACTACGAATGGCTAGGCGAGCAGCTGCGTCACGAGTCTGCCAGTGGGAACGAACACTAAGCTCGGCTGTGGCAGCAGGAGCAGCGGCAGCACCAGACGCGTAGTCATAGAGGGAGATGTGGTCCGTGCTATTGCTCATAAGATACAACTGCAGGTCGTCGAGCCAGGAAGTGAACTGCACGGGACGGCCCTCAGCATCGAAGGAAAGAACGCGAATAGAGGCCATAGCTCAGGCGTGAGGGCACAGCAGAGCAGCGGCAGCAGCAGAGGGGACGCAGCAAGCGGGCAGTGAGGCAGCGGGCGGCGCTGCGAAGCAGGTAGCGGGCGGGCGGGCGGCGCTGCGAGCGGGCAGCGAAGCGGGCGGGCCGCGAAGCGGGCAGCGAGCGGGCGGGCGGGCTGCGAAGCGGGCGGGCCGCGAAGCGGGCAGCGAGCGGGCGGGCGGGCTGCGAAGTGGGCGGGCCGCGAAGCGGGCAGCGGGGCGAGCGGGCTGCGACGAAGGCGAGCGGGCCGCGAAGCGGACAGCGAGCGGGCGGGCGGGCTGCGAAGCGGGCAGCGGGGCGAGCGGGCTGCGAAGCGGGCGGGCCGCGAAGCGGGCAGCGAGCGGGCGGGCGGGCTGCGAAGTGGGCGGGCCGCGAAGCGGGCAGCGGGGCGAGCGGGCTGCGAGGCGGGCGGGCCGCGAAGCGGGCAGCGAGCGGGCGGGCGGGCTGCGAAGCGGGCGGGCCGCGAAGCGGGCAGCGAGCGAGCGGGCTGCGAAGCGGGCGGGCCGCGAAGCGGGCAGCGAGCGGGCGGGCGGGCCGCGAAGCGGGCAGCGAGCGGGCGGGCGGGCCGCGAAGCGGGCAGCGAGCGGGCGAGCGGGCTGCGAAGCGGGCGGGCCGCGGAGCGGGCAGCGAGCGAGCGGGCTGCGAAGCGGGCGGGCCGCGAAGCGGGCAGCGAGCGGGCGGCCGGGCTGCGTGGCGGGCGGGCCGCGAAGCGGGCAGCGAGCGGGCGGGCGGGCTGCGAAGCGGGCAGCAGGACGAGCGGGCTGCGAGCGGGCGGCTCGGCGGGCGGGCGACACTGCGAGGGGCGCGCGAGGGCGCTAGTGAGGGGCGCGCGAGGGCGCTAGCAAGGGGCGCGCGAGGGCGCTAACGAGGGGCGCGCGAGGGCGCTAACGAGGGTGCGCGCGAGGGCGCTAACGAGGGGCGCGCGAGGGCGCTAACGAGGGCGCACGAGGGCGCTACGAGGCTAGGGCACGGGGTAGCGTGGTAACCGCATGCGAGCGGTGGTGGGCCCTTAAAAAAAAACGGTCGGTAGGTCCTAGGGACCTCCTGCTCTGATACCATTTCAGAATAGCTAGGCAAGAATGGATGAACTAGCAGAAGTTTGGGTACAAATATGAAACCCTAGTTGGGGTTGTACCCCATATTGGCTACCCCACTACAGCCTACAAGCATAATACAGTTTAACAAGAAGTCGGTCGAGACGCCGACCGAAGTGCAGCAGGACAACGAGGACGGCGGTGAAGATGAAGGGGAGCAGTTGGGCGACGAGGAACTGGTCGACCAGGCGGTGGTCGACCCGCCTGAGCCCCGGAAGTCAGGTCGACTTCGGAGGCCTCCCGACTTCTTCGTCCCCGCTGCCTTCACCACGGTCTATGACGTGGTCGACGAGGACGACGACCTGCTGTACGACGACGCCGACGAGGATGAAGAGTTTCCGGAGCTCGACATTGACACGCTGGCCGACCCCGAGCACCGCTGGGACATCTCGACGATGACGGTGAAGGAGGCGCTGGCGAGCTGGAAGGGTCCAGCAGTGAAGGCCGCCATGGAGGAAGAGATCCGTAGTCTCCTCGCCATGGGCACGTGGGAGCTGGTCGAACGCCCGCCGGGAGTGAATGTCATGAAGAACCGGTGGGTGCTGACGACGAAGTACAACATCGACGACACCGTCGAGCGGGAGAAGGCGAGGCTGGTCGTGAAGGGCTTCACGCAGGTGTACGGCGCCGACTACGACGAGACGTTCGCGCCGGTGGGCAGCTACGTCACGCTGAGGATCTTCCTCAGCATCGTCGCCGTGCTCAACCTCAACCTGATGCAGCTCGACATGAAGAACGCTTTCCTGCAGAGCAAGCTCGACCGGGTGCTGTACATGTCGCAGCCGGACTACTTCAACGACGGAACCGGCCGGGTGTGCAAGCTGCTGAAGAGCCTGTACGGGCTGAAGCAGTCGCCGCTGCTGTGGTACTTGGCGCTCAACGACGTGCTGGTCGGCGCTGGGTGGAAGAAGAGCCAGGTCGACGAGGCCCTCTACTTCAAGGTCGGCGACGACGGAGCGACTTGCTGGGTGCTGGTCTACGTCGACGACCTGCTCGCCGCCAGCAGCAGCCCCGAGATGCTGAAGCAGCTGAAGGAGCTACTGGAGGCCGCCTTCGAGCTGCGCGAGATCTCGCTGGTGCAGAAGTACCTCGGGCTGGAGATCATGCGCGACAGGTCGGCGGGGAAGCTGTGGCTGCACCAGCAGGGCTACGCCGACAAGCTGCGTAGGCGCTTCATCGACGAGGAGCAGGGCGGACGGACTCCGAAGTCGACGGTCTCGGTCGACGCCTACGCCGAGCTCACCTTCGACGATGAGGAGGCGCAGGAGCGACAGGAGGAGGAGTACCGGCAGAAGGTCGGCTCGCTGCAGTTCGCGGCGACGACGACGAGGCCGGACATCGCCTTCGCCTGCAGCAAGCTGGGGAGCGGCCTCACGGTGAGGAGCGACCAGAGACTTGGAAGCCTTGTACCTTGATTTTATAAATATTGTCAAGGGTGATTTATAATTAACACACGGTTGCCCGTTGTTATAAGGGCCGTGGTTGTTACAGGAACAATAGGGACGGGGAGAGTAGGGACGTGGAGTGTTGGGACGGGGGAGAGTAGGGACGGGGAGAGTATGGACGGAGAGAGTGGGGACAGGAACAGTAGTAGGGACTGGGATAGTTTGGACGGGGAGAGTAGGCATGGGGAGAGAAAGGACGGGGATAGAAGGGACGTGGAGAGCAGGGACGGGGAGAGTAGGGACGGGAAGAGAAGGGATGGGGAGAGTAGGCACGGGGAGAGTAGGGACGGGGAGAGAAAGGACGGGGAGAGAAAGGACGGGGAGAGTAGGGACGGGGAGAGAAGGGACGGGGAGAGCAGGGACGGGGAATGTAGGGAACCGGAAGAGTAGGTGCAGGAAGAGTTGGGATGGAGAGCGTAGGAGCGGGGAGAATAGGGACGGGGAGAGTAGGTACGGGAAGAAGAGAACAGGGACGGGGAGAGTAGGGACGGGGAGGGTAGGGACGGGTAGAGTAGGGACGGGGAGAGGAGGAACGGGGAGAGTAGGGACGGGGAGAATAGGGACAAGGAGAGAAGGCACGGAAAAATAAATAGGGATGGGGAGAGCAGGCACGGGGAGAGAAGGTACGGGGAGAGTAGGGACGTGAATAGTAGGAACAGGGAGAGTAGGGACAGGGAGAATTGGAACGGGGAGAGTAGAAATGGGGGAATAGGGACGGGGAAAGCAGGGAGCGAGGTGAGGGGCAGGGAGAAGGGGTTGTAGTGGTGGAGGATGAAGAGAGGAAGACGTTTTCGTACTTGGATGATGAGAGGAGCAAGTGACTGCTATTTTTTTTCTCACCCATCGTTTTTCCATCGTGTTGTGTTTCCATCAGCAGCATGTCAAGTGCCTGGCTGCTCCATCAGTAGCTCTTTCCATCAGCACTTGACATCAGCTGCTAATGCCAAGTGCCTGGCTGCTCTCTCCTGCGTCTGCACATACTTCGAGTCTCAAAAGAACTTCCACTTTCTCTTTCGATGTCTTGCAAGCTCCGATCGTCCTTTCTTTGTTTTCTCTTCCTCTTCCCGTTGCTTGTAAGCCGCATTCGTCCCTCTTTTTACCGCCGCTTCCTCAATTTCTCGTAACGCCTTCAACTTCTTAAATTAAAGGAGAGAGAGAAAAAAAAGCAATCCACTTCCTCTTCCAACTGTGATGAGCCCAAGTGAGCCTGAGTTACACTGAAGGTTTCGTACCTATCTCAGATAGGGATGAGCAAAAAAACGAACACCTTCGAGGCGAACCGAACAGGTTAGTTTTTGTGGCTTAAAGTGTTCGCCGAACAGTGTTCGAGGTTCGCCCGAACACGTTCGTGTTCGGGCCGCTGCTGCAATTTGCCCCTAGACGAACACGAACGTGTTCGAGGTTCGCCCGAACACGCCTTCACAGGCGAACGGCGAACACCTGTTTTTGCTTAAGGTGTTCGCCGAACCGAACAGTGTTCGTGCATGGGCGAACACGAACACGTTCGTGTTCGCCCCTTGCTCATCCCTAATCTCAGACATCAGCCAAGGAACAACAAGGTGCTGCAAACAGGCCGCATGCATCTTCTCTGCTATCAGGCCAATAGACCAATTGACCATTTTCTGTACCTTTCTAAGTGTCCCTTTGCGTATGGCGTGCAATCAGGTCTGTGCACCATCCAAACCTCTCTGGCTAATCCAGTCCTTTCTCTTCTCCCTCTTTCCGCTCCACCCACCCCTCCCCTCCGCCTCTCAGCTCTTAGCCAGGGACTACGTGGCAGCAGGGCTGTGCAGCATCCATCTCTTCCTCTACTCGCCCGACCTTCACCCCGCAGCAACACTTCTGCAGCGGACACAGGTGGGAAGAAGTGGATGCATCTGGTATCTCCATCAAGATCTAAATTGAAACCATCTTGAAACGCACTTGCAGCTACGGAGGCTGGACTAGGCTGATCTGGATACCGCTGCTGCTTCGTCTGTCCCGCTCTTGGTGTCTGCATTTCGTGCCTAGGTGGTTTCCCATGTTTAAATTTGCATTGTGAGCACTCCTTCTTTCGTACCCCTCCTCAGCTGTTCTTTACAACAGGCAGAACGCAGCAGCAGACCTGGCAGGCAGCAGCAATTCACTCGCCACTTCCAATGGGGTGCCCTTCTGTTCTCCTTCTCAAATCCTCTCCTGTTCTTTCCCAGCTGCTTTTTGACAAGGGAACGCAAAACGCAGCAGCAGACCTGGCAAGAGACTCGCCACCTCTGCCGCCTCTCTTCCACTGCTGCTGCTGGTACTTCTGGTGCAGGCACTACTGGTGTAGGCTTCGCTGCAGGAGGAGACGGTACCAGCAGCAGTGGCAGCAGCACCACCGCCACCACCACCGCCACCAGCAGTCGCAGCAGCACTGGCAGCGTGGCGGTGATAAGCAAGTAGTGGGCGGCGACAGCAAGATATCGGACGAGGATCTTCTCCGGCTGCAGCGGCTGGCAGGACTGCAGGTGGAGGTGGTGCGGGCGGTGGGGGCGTGCAGCGGCGGTGGGGGCGGTGGGGAGGAGAGCAGCGGCGTGCCTCTGGTGGGGGCTGCCAGGAAGGCCCCCCGTGGAGCGTGGCTCTCTTTGGTGCTCCCAGTGGCGGCAGAACCAGCAAGTGTTTGTGGTAGAGTGACCGAGTTTCTCGTCGATCGAGAATTCGACCTGGCGGTAGAGGTGATCAACTCACCTGCCAGCTGTGCAGATCTACGCCAGCGTCGCAGCCTTGCTGGCGGAGAAGCAGAAGCACCGCGTGCTGTTAGAGGGGCTCATGAATCGGATCAAACACATGTTTCTGCCCGCTGACATGGATCAGGTGAGCTGGCAGTTGGGAGTTGAGAGACGACGGGTGTACTCACTACTCTGACCAGTCTCACTCTCTCATTGCTCACTGGTGCCCTTTGAGGGGTTGATGGATTGCATCAAGCACATGCTTCCGCCCACTGTCAACCTCTTCACAACCCCACCCCTGGTCACTCACTCCCTCTCTCCTCTGTCTGAGAGAAGCAGCAGCGCTGCGTGCTGTTTGAAGGGTTGATGGAACAAATGGACATGCCGCCGCTGCCTTGCAAATATGGATGACTCAGCTTCGAGCTGAGAGACCCTCCCAGCGCAGACGAGTCTAATCATTGCTGTGAGGAGTGTCTGCAGTGCCTTGACAGTGGCGCAATGTGCCTTATGGACCGGATCAGGTGCATGCTGCCGCCCACTGTCAACCATGACTCCAAACCTCACCTAACCCAACCCAACCTTGTGTTTATATCCTCGTTCCTCCTCTCCGCCTCAGTTGCTTCCCACTCATCCATTTCCCCTCCTCCCATCTGCACACGTGTCGACAGGTGATTGGAGCAGCAGTGTTGGTCTACACCCACACAGCCGTCAAGCTGTCGAATCTCTCCCTGAGCTGCACCGGGTGGCAAGGCATGTCCCGATCTGTGAAGCTGCCCAAGGAGCAGAGCGATCGCCTTATCCAAATGCTGTCAGACGAGCACAAGTGAGTTATCCTCGCATCCGTAAGTGTGTGCTCTTTAAGAATCTTTCAGGCCTGTGGAATCCACAGGGGGTAGTGACATGCGTATGCGGCCCGTCAACGTTGGCAGGCCGGTTCGTGCCGAGTTGATGCCCTCGTTGATTAACAACTAGGCTGCATGGTGCTGGGATGCATGGTGCTGGGTGGGCGGTATGGTGCGGGGCCGCCCCGTTGATAGGCCAGTTTGCGCGGAGTTGGTGCCCTCTTCCTTGGGAAAGGATTGGTCTGCATGGCTCCCACCTGCTCGCGCTGTCCATCATCGAGAGCCAGTGCGATCTTCTGCCTGCCAGGGCTATAGGACTTACCCTACTGTCTCCACACGTGCGTTACAAAAGGCATGGCTCTGCTCCACGTTGCTGCAGCGGAGAAGCGGCTTGAGGTGAATGTGCATGGGGGGGTCAAGGGTCGGTGTTTGGGGTCAAGGGTCGGTGTTTGGGGTCAATGGTCGGTGTTTGGGGTCAATGGTCGGTGTTTGGGGTCAAGGGTCGGTGTTTGGGCGTTAGTGTTGGTGAGATGATGTGCCGCATCCATTGTTGTGACTTGTGGGTCCATCGATGCTACCGAGTAGCTGCAATTTCGCTTACCATCCATATGACATGCGTTTATACCAATGTAAGGAAGCTTTGATGGGTAGTGTCAGACCTTCCTCTACCAGCTACCCTCAGTCCCCTCTTCTCATCCGTGGCTTTCATGTCTCAACTCCCCTCCTCCCCTCCCTCCCGCACCCCACATTCCTCCACCAGCTGGACAATCTGCATCGGCTTGCACATGACATGCATGGAGTGCGCAGGTTTTAAGAGGTACGTCTAAATACATGCAACAGATACTGTACCTCAGGTAGCTGTCTTCTCTGTATTCCATTCTTTGCCCTCATGCTAATGCGCAGAAGAAACCACGTCACCATGCCTTTGACTGCCTCAGTCTTTCACTAACTATTCTGACACACCCAGACTTATAGGTAGTGCCTCTTGCCATGTGCGGAGGTTACAGCACTGAGGGCATCAAGCCGCTTTCCACACTTGCATGCATAACATGGCTAGTTCTGAGAACTGTTGTGCTGCTAATAAGCTTTGAACTGTGAAATTCCAACCGCTTTAGAGAGTACAACCCTCTTAGAGTTGCGTGTTTGTCTCCCATCCTGTGCAGTCTAACCCATTCTGCTCTTCGTACTTTGACATTTTACACGATGCTGCAGTCTGACTCAGGCCAAGGCACGACTTGACAACTATCTTCCCACCTGTACGCTAAGCTGTGCACAGGCAAAGCCTTGTCCAGCTATCTTGCCCATTCTCTGGCACCTATGCCCTTACATGCGTGCACAGATCCTCATTACATGAAAACCCGGTGGCAGGAGAGATCGAAGTTCCCAGCATGCGTGAGTGACATCTCATCCAGGTCAAGGCTCACACGCCCTACCCTGTCCACCGTCTCAGCATTATCTGATGGATACCATCGGAGCAGCATAAAAGGATTTACAATGATGCAGATCTTTCGAAGGTGATCACGATACTTGAAGCAATGCCTTACAAGCTCCATCATACACACTGTACCCTCTTCTCTGTAGAAATATTACTACACCCTGCACCCAAACAGCCAGCCATTTCTTATGCAACTGCCCTTATACAGCCATGCGAGGCACTACTCACCACTCGCCCCCAGCTGCTGCTGCCGCTACTGCTGCCGCCACTGCTGCTGCCACTGGTGCTGCCACTGGTGCTGCCTGCCACTGCTGCAGCCAATGCTGCTGCCACTGCTGCTGCCACTCCTGCTACCACTACTGCCACCCGTCGCACTCGCCTCCCTCATGCTCTCTTGCTCGGCCTTTTCCAGCCTCCCCTTTCCTTCCCCTCACCTCACCTCCCCCCGCATCCATTCTCCTCTTCCCTTTCCTCGAACCGGAGACCTTACCCTTCGATAACAATTTCAGCAGAGACAGATCAAGCTGTCAGCTTTAGGGTTTTCATTTCCTGTATGTTGGTGTACTGGTAATCTCAGGTGTTTTACAGGAGTCGGAATGTACATTCAGTGTACACTTCGATAAAAGGCTGAAAATTCAGTGCATCGTAAAAAAATGTTTGTTTTACCCTCCCTAACCCCTAATGAGAACCAAAGGGAGAGCGATAATGACTCGCGGGCTAAGCCTGATGTTGGTGGCAAAACAATCGTTGCGTCTCATAGGCAGAGGCAGACATCAATGGGCATCCCTCCAAGCAAGTTGTCACGAGCGGCTGAAAGTCTTGCACGATCACATAACTGCATACGAGTGCTTCAAGCCTGTCCGGAGCAAGTATCGAGTGAGTGATGTGGTAAGTGCATGAGTGAGAAGACGAAGAACACGGTGCGTCAGTGGGTAAGACGACTTGGGGCCGAAGGGGGGAAGGAGGAGAGGGGGTGGGGGAGGGATGGTGGGTGGGGGGGAGGATAGAAGACACATATCACATCTTACACATTTGAAACAGCTTTACAAAAAGGACAGAGAGGATGTTCCCACCAATAGCCATCCATGTCATTTCCAATACTCAGATGCATCAGCCGAGCAGCTGGCAGGAAACATGTGAGCCCGTATCTAAGCCGTTAAAAGAGCAGCAGTTACGCATACCAATAATCTTACCAGCACGTTCACTACTCCTGAATCCAGACCTTGGAGTTCATTTCGACCTTGGCTGGGAACTTCGACTCTGCCCACACTGGAAATTTCAATGCCACCCTCAAAGGGCAATCTAGTTCCGCTCCCCATCCTGCTCCCTCAGTAACACTCCCCTCATCCCCATGCCTTCCGATCCCACTAACGTATCAAATTGCAATCCGCCCACTGTACCTTGCAGCACCACCAACTTGGCAAACAGGCTCAAGCAGGAGTGTGAGGAGATCAATCTCCTCACACACTCCTCACCCTTCTCACCCTCCTCAAGCAGGACATGAGGCTCCCGGGTTAAGGGTAGACCACGCCCTTAAGACAGGACACATCGCAGAAAACCATAGAACACATTTTCACTCAATTCAGTACCACTTCCCTTCACCTTCACCTTCTTCCTGCCACTCACCTTGGCACTGTTTTTCCCTCTTCTCTTCCCGTCGGTCCTCCCAGGGCATGTGGGTTTGTGGGAGGGCCAGTGCGCCTTTTGGCACTCTCTGCTGCAATACGCCACCTTGCCACACCCCCCGCAACTCCTCAGCTTCACTCCACCACCCTCCACCCTCTCACACCCTGCAGCACCGCACACACGCTCACTACTAGGTGCAGGACCAGAGTGTTGTGTGGCAGTTGCACCACGCACACGCCCCCCACAAGCTGCAGAAGCAGAGCCTTGGGTGGCAGTTGTACCACACACGCGCCCCGCACAAGCAGCACCACCAGAGGCTTCAACATTTAAAGTAACACTCTCTGTTGAAACGTCTGCTGCAGCTGTGCTCAGTGCAGCGATGATGGTTGGATCGTCAGAAAAAGCTGTAACAGTAGCTGAGTATCCTGATTCAGCAGTTGACGACGCAACACGGGTTCTTACAGCAGCCGAGGTGGAGCGAGCAGCATCGGAGGCCGGGTGGTAGCAAGGCTCCCCCAGCAGCATCTCTCGCAGACATGCCACCAGATTGACTCCCCCCGGCCATGCCATAAGCCGCCTCCCCCGCCTTCTTGCCCTTCCGTTTGCTGCCGCTACTGCCACAGGCACTGCCACGCCCACCCGTGTGCTTTAAGTCTTCACAGAACCTGGGCAGCAGAGAGCAGTCATACATCTCCGCAACCAATCTCTTGTGTGCCATTGTAGCACGCTTTATTGACTGGCTGCCGCTGCAGCCGGGCCCGCCCCCCTCCATGGCACCGGCCGGCAGCATCGCCACCACGAACCACGACTGCACCTCCTCCAACACACCTCCGCAATCACCTTCACCAAGCCCACCTCCCCCTGTTTCCCCACCGTCCACACAGTCCCCACTCCCTGCCCTCCTCCTGCCAGCCTTCCCTTTCGCCCCACAGCTTCTTCCAGCAGCCCACGAGTTCAGCTCGCCTTGAATCCCACTCTGCTGCAAGAGCTCACTGGGGAAGATAAGGGCAAGGGAGAGCAGGAAGGAGATCGGAACCTGCTCCACCCGTTCGCGCAGCGCATGCACGCTGCAACGCCGTGTGTGACCATCCAGCGCCAACCGGTTGACAACCTCGTGAAACTCAGCGGTGTGGGGCGGGAAGACGGAGATGAAATGGTCAAGAAGGACGGAGGCGGGGTGATAGGCAAAGTTGGCAACGAGAGCGACAAAGGGGACTAGGAGAGTGTATGAGGTGAGGCATGCGCTGCAGTGGGCGCACACCGGTGGCTCGAAGAGCATACCGGCAAACTCAACTATCAAGTCCACATCTGCCCTGCAGCGCACGATGGGACGCATCTCACTCCGAGGAGGAGGAAGCGGTTCTTTGCTGGGAGCTTTCCGCGCTTTCCGGGTTCTCCCCTGCGGCGCTGCCACCTGGCCTTTGTCCCTGAGACTTTGCCTGTCATCCGCCCTGCCCAGCCAGAAACATCTGGCGCTTGGGTCATCAGGAAACTTCATAGTAGCTTCGTTCCCCTGGGGCCACTCCTCCCACTCAGGAAAGCAGCTGCTTCCGACCGTAGGCTGGGGAACAGCGCCAAACCTGGCCAACAGGTTCGGAAGATCCCGAACCGGGTGGTGCATGGGCAGGACCCTTCCCTGTGAGTTGTCCTTGAAGCACGTCTCTGCAGAGATGAACTCTGAGCCGTAGATCCGGAGCCACTGCAAGATGCAAGCAACCCGATACGTGAGGAGAGCAACAGCGGGATCTGTGTTTACAGGCACGAGGCCAGAAGTACCGCTGCTGAGCATCGCATTTCTGTTGACAACAGGACTGGCCACGAGGCTAGGATTGAGCATTCCACTCTTGCCGGTGGAACCGCTACTGCAAAGAGACGATCCAGCTCGGGGTGAGATAGCAGCAGCACTCGGAGCAGGTGGCTGTGTTGCTGGTGCAGCTGATGCTGCTAGCTCCAGTCCTCCTCCTCCTGTTGCCCTTCCCTCGCTCACCCCTCTTGCCAGACCCACCTGTCTCAGCCTCTCACGGGCCGCCTCAATGGCTGCATCCTCCATGCTGCCAGTGGGTGTGCTCCTAGACCCCACAAAGAACATGGCTGCCAGCTTGCGGTGCTCTGGCCTGGAGAACACTGAGGCGAATGCCAGGGCGAGGTCAGTGGCACCCACGCCACTCACATACATGCCTTTGGGGATATCCTTGTTTTCAAGACTGCTGCTGTTGCAGCAGCTGTTGCTGCCGCTGCTGCTGCCACCACTGCTGCTGCCGCCGCTGCTGCTGCTGCCGCCGCTGCTGCCGCTGCTGCTGCCGCCGCTGCTGCTGCCGCCGCTGCCGCCGCCGCCGCCGCCGCTGCTGCTGCTGCTGCTGCTGATACTGCTGCCACCCTCTCTGCAGTGGCTGCACCTGAACTCCCTCTCTTCCCCACCTCCATGCTCCAAGATCCAACCCATGCCATCCACATACCTCTCCCACACACGCCCCTTCAGATGCCCCCTCCACTCCTCATCCTTTCCATTCCTTCCATCCCTACAGCCACCCCTCTCCACCCCTCCACTACCACCTGTACCTTCTCTTGCACTCCCCCATCATCTCCAGCGTGAGATGGCAGATTCACACACCTCACCAGGTCATCTTTGCCCAGGTTCACCCCAAATTCATCCATACTCCCCCCCCAGTCGGCCGGTCGCCTCCGCATCCTCCGTGCCACGGCCATCGCTGCCTGTCCTAACTGCCCCACACGCGCCGAATCCTTCTCCCCGGCTCCCCGCCTCCCCCCCGCATGCGCATTCTCGAGGCCGTCTGAGAGCAGATGCTGCGCAAAGAACCCAAACCCTTCCTTCAGATCAGCGCTCTCCTTCACCCCCAGCACTTGCACCAGCATGGACGCACAGCAGTCGTTCTCCACCTGCCTGCCCGCCCCCAGCTCCGCCACCAAGGCCGGGTAGACCGCGTTGTATGTATCCACGTGGGCTTTCCACATGATGTCGAACCGCGGCCACCTCGCCACAAGCACGAGGAAAGCAACGAAGCTGACAGCCCGGCGGTAGGCCGCCCAGCAGCTGCTGCAGCGCCAGCAGCACGACCACGCTGACGAAGCAGCAGGAGCAGCAGCAGCAGGAGCCGGAGAAGAGGAAGCAACAGCTGCAGCAGCTGTCGCATTAGACAGAATCGCAGGCAGGCGGGTTCTGATTTTCCCTAAGTCCATGAGCACGCCCACACGAGGCTCAGCCATCCACTCGAGCAGCATGGCTTCCACACAGAGGAACGGCGCCAGAGCACTCTTGCACGCCAACTGCACGTGAGGCGCCGGCGCCGACTCCCCTTGCTTCCCAAACGCCGGCACTCTCGCAGAGTACTCCAGCACACCCCTGCTGACTCTGTTTGGGCGTGCAAGAGGGGTGGCGCCAGGCTGCTGGTTGTGCAGGAGGGATCGAACGAAGTCAAGGCTCTCCATGGTGAGAGCACGCTCGAGAGCACGCTCTGCTCGGAGGCTCATAGCGTGGTGGAAGCAACGCCCGCATTCAGCCACATCCCACCCGCCTCTCACGTCCAAGTAGTGAACCATGTCCGCTCGGCACAGCAGCTGAACCTTCCTCGACATTTCCTGACCTCCCACTCCCCCTGACACCCCGGCCTTCCACACACATGCCTTTCCGGCCCCAACCGCCTCCTGCTGAACATGCCATCTTTTCACCGACTCGTGACGATCAAGCCAAATCGCCTCCTTGAGCTCCGAAAGGGCAGCATTGCAGGTTCCGAGGGGATTCTGGGGTTCCGACAAGACCATCTTTCCTCTCCCTCCACCTATCCCCCATGCATGTCCATTCAGTGACGTCGTGTACTCCTCGCCCTCCTCGTCTTCGTCGCCGCCGGAGCCGATGTGGTCCCACTTGCTGTAGTCGATCCTACGTGGCCTCGTGACGCCAGCAGCGGTAGGTGCAGTAGCAACAACAGGAGGAATTGCATCAGTAGGTGCAGCAGCAGAAGCGGGAGGCACCTCAGCAGCAAGCTCGGCAGCGGGAGCAGCAGCGAGAACAGCAGGTACAGGAGTCGCAGCAACATCAGAAGGCACGTTTGCAGCAGGTGCAGCGGCAGGAGCGCTCACACGCGCTTCAGCCCCGTCGTTGATCGTTTCTTCACCATGCACGACAGTCTTTAGGGGAAGCACCTTGATTGTGGAACTCGATTTGAGCCTCGCTTGCTCCACCGTGCAGTCAGGAGAGAGGTACACCACCTGGCCTATCACCATGAACCGGACCGGCTGCATCCCACTCACCCCGTCAGTTTCCTCCGCGGATTCCCCCCCATCGTTTGCTCTCTGCTGCTGCACGTGACGTGCATCACACGGCAAGCAGCAGTTTGGCAGATGCGATTGAAACAGCCTGTTAAATACTGATCGGAGAGATTCCTTTGGAGAAACAGCGAGGGAAACGTCCACGTAGGACAATACCGATGAATCGCCACGGTTTAATTTTCTGCTGTGATGGTCGTCGAATCTGTGTTCGGGTAAGTCTCCGGAGATCCGGAATCGAACTTGAAAAGCCATGGATGCGCGCAAAACCGACTTGCTGGTCACTAGCTGGAGCTTGTCACTGATAAATAATCGAATGTGCTATTTTTAACGCTTGATAGGTTATCCATATGCGCTGGTTTCATTGCCGATCAAGAGAATCGTCTGCCTAACTGATTGCTACGAATGCCCGTTATGCGCCCAGGAGCTCGAAAGTCTGACGAGAGCGACCCCTAAACTCGGCCAAGCAAAAGGTTGCTGGCATTACCCCATCTCCATAGCTTTAATTAACTATAGTTAAAACATACAGATTTCTGAATGAAATCGGAATCGGAATGAATCTCTCCGCCTTCCCCGCCTTAGGGTGTGTCAGATCCGCTAACAACTGATTTGGCTGTTTTTTAGACGACCATTTGGTGGACTACAGCTTCAGCGAACTCCGACACAATTGGCCGCTTTAGAATTAGACCATACCGTCGTACCCCGGATATAAGCGCGACCCTCGGATAAGCGCCTGGCGCTTTTAATTGGCGCATGGCGCTTATATCCGCTGCTCGATTATAAGCGCACCCCCTGAAAAAACTTGTTTTATTATAAGCGCACGTAAATTTTAAAATGTGTTCAAAAAGCAGTAACGAATTTTACTTTAGCAGGCGGATGTGTTGCAGATTCGGTTCCCTTCACATTCGGACCCTGCACTGGATGCACGTCCAGTCAGCAGGAGCTGTCAGAAGCTGTCAGAAGCAAACGGTCAGGAGCTGTCAGATTGGGTGTATCGCGCGAGAATTCCACAGACAACCCCATGTAACTTCGACTCGATTGAAAAAGGCAAGCACGAGATCTACAGCTTGGTGTTAAAAAATATAAGATAAAAATATGTCGTTTTATAAACGCCGACGCTTATAAATTTAATCGATTATAAGCCCACCCCCCTAAAAAAAACACGTTATATTATTGCCCTCCATGGGGGTATATCCGGGGTATGACGGTATCAGAATCACTAGGCAAGAATGAATCAACTAACAGAAGTTTGGGTACAAATATGAAACCCTAGTTGGGGTTGTACCCCATATTGGCTACCCCACTACAGCCTACAAGCATAATACAGTTTAACACACCCCCATAGGCAAAGTGGGGGAAAACAAAGGGTCACAAGACCAGTCCAGCAAAGCAAAACAAAGCCCAGGGTGGATCACAACGTCACCACACTCCGAGCACAAGTAAAGGCCACAAGGCCAGTTCACATGCAGTGCTAGATATAGTACAAGACAAGCAACACAGTGATCAAAACCTAGCAAGCAAGCAACAAGATATATATAAAGTACAGTACAAAGAATGTCAAGCAGTGAGCAAGTGAGGAAACGTGGACACAAGGCCTAAAGAAGTACAGTGCCGCTGATGATCACTAGGCGGGAGCGCCTTGGTGAAGATATCAGCAGTGTTGGCCTTCGAGTCCACGTACACAAGCCGAAGCTGACCGCGCTGCTGAAGCTCTCGAGCAAGAAAGTAGCGAAGAGCAATGTGCTTCGTCCTGTGCTCCAGTCTGTGCTCCTGACACAAGGCAAGAGCCGCCTTGTTGTCACCGTACAGAACTGGAGGAGAACTAGGCCGCTCTCCCAAGTCAGTCAGCAGGTAGGTGAGCCAGCGTAACTCCTGAGCAGCCATGGCTGTGGCGTAGATCTCAGCCTCACAACTAGAGCCGAGAACAGAGGAAGAGCGGGTGGACCGCCACGAGACAGAGCCAGAGCCAAGGCTGAAGGTGTAACCCTGTGACGACCGCTGCGTAGCCAGGTCGTCCACCCAAGAAGCGTCCGAGTGGCCAGTGAGGACAACTCTGTCGCGTCCTCCAAGCACCAGCCCCATGCCTGATGTACTGCACAAGTAGCGCAGCACCCTCTTAGCAGCCTCCCAGTGCTCTCGCCTGTGTCTCCCAGGCGCAACGTAACGAGCAAGGATGCTAAGAGGGTACGCGAGGTCAGGTCGCGTGCAAGTCATCAGGTACATGAGGCAGCCTACAAGCTCTGGGTACGGGCCACTCGGCTCTACGGACTCGTCCGAAGGTGGAGCTGAGAGCGAGTGGCTGGTAGCCAGAGGTGTGGCCTGTGGTGAGGAGAACTGGAAGCCGAAGCGCTGAAGGACCTGCTGCACCATGTGTGACTGAGTCAGGGTGATGGTGCGGCGAGCTCTGTCCCGGGTGATCTGCAAGCCAAGGTAGCTACGCAGTTCACCCAGGTCAGTGCAGGTGTGTCTCTTCTGCAGCTCCGACTTCACACGAGCGAGTGCCTCAGTGTCAGCAGTAGCAAAGACCAAGTCGTCGACGTACACGAGGATGTAGAACGGCGGCAGCGACGTGTCTGTGCGCAGAAACAGCGACGGGTCAGCAGTAGACGGCGCGAACCCAAGAGCCGCAAGAGTAGTCCTCAGTGTGTCGTGCCACTCACGTGGCGCCTGGCGGAGACCGTAGACTGGCCGGCGGAGACTCCACTGGGTACCAGGGGGAAACGACCCAGTAAAGCCAGGTGGGCGGCGCAGCCAGATCTCCTCGTGCAGGCTGCCCTGCAGGAACGCTGTGCTGAAGTCAAGAGA